TCATAGGAACAAAATAAATCTCCAATACCTGACTGCAAGTAATGGAATTAAATGAATTACCAAATTAAGAATTCAAAATAACCATCTTATAGATATTCAATCAACTCACAAAAAATTAGTCAACAGAATAGCAGAATAAATTTTTTTGAATTTTTTTTTTAGATAACCAAAGAGTAATTTTAAAGAATACAAGAGAATTGAAAAGTCACAAGAAAGGGATTTTTATTAGTAACTACATTCACCAAAGGGAATCAACTACACAAAGGTGTATCATTGACAGTGTCCAGTCAGAAGTATAACAAATATGAACACAAAAATGGGGGGGGGAAGGCATCACTATCCCTGACTTCAAGCTCTATTATAGAGCTATAGTCCTGAAAACAGCTAAGTGTTGGCACAAAAACAGGCAGGTAGACTAATGGAATTGAATTGAAATCCCTGATACTAACCCACACACCTATGAACACCTGATTTTTTAAAAGAAGCTAAAATTATACAATGGAAAAAATGAAGCATGAAGCATCTTCAACAAATGGTGCTGGCATAACTGGATGCTGGCATGTAGAAGACTGCAGATAGATCCATGTCTATCGCCATGCACAAAACTTGACTCCAAATGGATCAAAGACCTCAACATATATCTAGCCACACTGAACCTCTTAGAAGACAAAGTGGGAAGTGCCCTTGAACAAACTGGTCCAGGAGACTGCTTCCTGAACATAACACCAGTAGCATAGACAATTAATAAATGGGACCTCCTGAAACTGAGAAACTTCTGTAAGGCAAAGGACACAGTCAACAAGACAAAAAGATAACCCACAGAATAGGAAAAGATATTCACCAACCCCACAACTGACAGAGAGCTGATCTCTAAAACTTACAAAGAACTCAAGAAGCTAGTGTCCAAAACACCAGAGAATCCAATTAAAAAGTGGGTGACTGAACTAAATAGAGATTCTCAATAGAGGAATGTAAAATGGCTGATGAACACTTAAGAAAGTACTCAACATCCTTAGCTATCAGGGAAATGCAAATCAAAATGACTTTGACATACCATCTTACTCCTGTCAGAATAGCTAAAATAAAAAACACCAATGACAGATTATTCTGGAGAGGATGTGGTGAAAGGAGAACATTCTTTCACTGCTGGTGGGAGTGCCAACTTGTCCAGCCACTTTGGAAATCAGTATGGAGATTCCTCAGGAAAATGGGAATCAGTCTACCACAAGACCCAACAATTCCATTCTTGGGTATATACGCTAAAGATGCACATTCATTCATACAACAAGGACATCTGTTCCAGTATGTTCATAGCAGCATTATTTGTAATAGCCAGAACCTGGAAGCAACCTAGATGCCCCTCAACTGAAGAATGGACAGAGAAAATGTGGTACATATACACAATGGAGTACTACTCAGCAGAAAAAAACAATGGAATCTTGAAATTTGCTGTCAAATGGATGGCACTAGGAGAAACCATCCTGAGTGAGGTAACCCAGTCACAAAAAGACAAACATGGCATGTCCTCACTCCCAGTCACAAAAAGATAAACATGTCATGTCCTCATTCATATATGGATTTTAGACATAGAGCAAAGGATTATCAACCTACAATCTACACCTCCAGAGATTCTGGGAAACAAGGAAGACCCTAAGAGAGACATACATGGTCCCGCACAAGAAGGAGAAATGGACAAGATCTCCTCAGTGGACTGGGAGCATGGGGAAGGGAAGAGGAAGCTAGGAGAAAGAGAATGGGAGAAGAGGAAGGGAGAGGAGGACATGAAGGAGCAGGAAGACTGGGTTGGAGAAAGAATAGAGGAGAGCAAGATAAGAGATACCATAATAGAGGGAGCCATTATAGGTTTAAAGAGAAATCTGGCACTAGGGAAATATCCAGAGATCTACAAGGATGACACCAACTAACAATCCAAGCAATAGTGGAGTGGTTGGCTACGTTAAATGCCCTTCCCGGATAATGAGATTGATGACAACCTTATACATGGAATCAGAAGCAGACACCCACAGCTAAATACTGAACTGAACTCCTGGAATCTAGTTGCAGAGAGGGAGGAGCAAAGGGGTCAAGACCAGAATGGAGAAACCCACAGAAACAGTTAACATGAACAAGGGGGAGCTCATGGACCCCAGACTAATAGCTGGGAAACCAGCATAGGACTGATCCAAACCCCCTGAACATGTGTGTCAGTGAGGAAGCCTCAGCAATCTATGGGGCCTTGGATAGTACATCAGTATTTATCCCTCGCATCCTTTGGGAGCCCATTCCACATAGAGGAATACTTTCTCAGCCTAGACACACGGAGAAGGGCCTAGGCCCTGCTCCAAAGGATATGACAGACTTTGAAGATCCCCCATGGAAAACCTCAACTTCTCTGGGGAGCAGAAAAGGAATGGGATAGGGAGTTATTGGGGACAGGGGAGGAGGAGAGGGAGAGAGAACTGGGATTGACATGTAAAACAATCTTTTCTAATTTAAATAAAAAGAATAGTGGAAAAACCTACAGGAATTTGGGGGGTACCTTATAGTAGAGAGGTTAGGAAAGAAAGGGGTGAGTAGGCTGTTCATTAAATTCCTAGTGATAAAACAATAACTAAATAAAGATGAGAGAGAGAGAGAACGGAAAGGAAGCAGATAATAAAAGATTGTCTGACTAGATAGTGGCCAACCATTCCCACTGTGGAATGAAATGGACATCCAGATTCCAAAATACTCTAGTGGCTATTAATCTAAAGAAGTACATACTAAGAGAAATTAAAATTGAGTTGTCAAAGTCAAACACCAGAGATTTTGGAAGCCCTGAGATAAAGTGACATCACATACAAGGAAGGTGTGGTAGGACTCTCAAGGGATTTCTCATTGCAATCTTGCCAGGCAGAGAGATGCACAGTGACATGTTCAAATGCTAAAGAAAAATAGTGTCAGTCAAGAGTATTATATCTGCCGAAAGTCACTCCAAAGATAAAGTCGAAGTGCCTTCCAGATAAATAAGAACTGAGGGAGTTCATCACCACTGCATTTATCAAAGTAAGAAACGCTAAAGAGAATTTTTAATTGAAATGAAAATATAATGATCTTACATAAGCATATGAAGGTAAGAAGTTCAATGGTAAAGGTAAATGCATAGTCAAATACAGACTGGTAAAATACTGTAATTTACAGTGTATAAATTAATTTCATCTATGGTACTAGACATAAATAAAAAATAAATACAGCTCTAAACTATAATTTGTAATATTAATGACACCATGGTATAGAGGGCTGAAGGTGTGGTCCAGTATCAGAATGTTTACTGATGATACTCAATCGCAAGTATTCCCAATAAAATGCATGAATAAAATAAAACATAAAAATCATATGCACTGTTGAAAGTAAGTTGCAGTCAGCTTGACGTCAGTATTATAAATATGTCATGCTATGCAAACCCTATGGTAAACACAAAGACAATACCTGTAGATTGTGCATAGAGGAAAAGGAGATTACAACTATCCCCTGAAAAATAAGTCAGAAAAACACAGAGAGGAAAAGAAAGACCACAAAACTATAAAACAGACTAAAAGGTAGACATAAGGTCTTCTCTATAATAAACTGTTTTGAATACATTGATTAAACCCCCTGGTCATAAGACATAAGGGTATCTGAAGCCATGTTTCTCATCCTTCCTAATGCTGTGTTCCTCATGTTGTGGTGACCCAACCATAAAATTATTTTTGTTGCTATTTCATAGCTGTAATTTTGTTACTGTTGTGAATCTTAATTTAAACATTTTCAGAGATGTCAGTTTGTCAATGGGGTTGCAATCCACAGGTTGATAAATGCTGATCTGAATGCATTTTTTAAAAATCCAACTATTTCCTGTCTACAAGAAATTTGCTTGGGAGTTAAAGATATGCACAGGACAAAAGTAAGGTATAGAAAATGTTTCTTACAAGCAATAATGAAAAAAGAACAGAGGCACACAGACTAGTAAAAGATACCTTAACTTAAAAAAAGACAAGAAAAATAAGGGAGGATATATGTAATGACAAAAGTAGCCAATTAGCCAGAATTTGTACTCAGAGCATCCAAATATATGAAGCAAACATTGACAGGACTGTAGAAACACACAGCAACACAAAACAGTAGAAGGTTACAATATTCTCCTATCAATAACAGATGAGACATTCTCCTATCAATAACAGACGGGACATTCAGACAGAAATCAGTAAATGAACCATAAGCCTGAAAAGAAGAAATACGACAGATGTACTAAACTCAGATATGAAGAATAGTCTATCTATTGGACACAGAACTCAAAAGTATAATGGGACAGTCTGCAGTATGTTAGATCGCTATAAGTTCTTAACGAATTATGTAATGTTTAAGCCATACAAAACATCATTTCCATTCCTAACAAAATGAAAGTAAAAATCAGAAATTATCAGACACATGGAAATAAATAACTTACTCTTGTATAGTCAGTGGGCCAATGAATAAGTCAAAAGCTAAAAGAATGTCTTGAGACTACTGAAAACAAAAACACAAGGACCAAAACTTATTTTATTCAATATGACAATGTGTATAGCTAACAATACTTAAACATTAATGTTAATTTAATGTTATGTTTTCTTTATAATAATTAAAAACAAACTCGAAACCTGTTAAATGAGAAACAAATAGCAGCTATACTATTTATAACATATAAAAATATGTTATCCAGATATAGACAGTCAAGAACAAGGCTTTTTAATTTTTCCACTCCTGACCCCTTTACACCTGAGAAATTTCTACATGACCATTGCTATACAGGTATCTAAAATGGGTGTATATTTACTCATAAAAAATTAAACAATTATTTGGTACGTATATAATTTTACCATTTATTAAAAACTAAATCAAATCTAGTTACTCATAAAAAGGGAATACTTGCTAATGTTTACATAAGGAACTGAATCTTAACTGATTATTTGATACTTCAAGATACAGAACATGTTGAATATTTGTTCAGGTGATCAATATTTATTTTTATAATCATCAATTCTGAGAACAACATTCTTCATTAATACATAGCATAAATGTAAGAGTATGTTTAGATCCATTTCAGAAATTATGAGAAACTCTGCCTTAATCACAAAACAAAATTCATCGAGTGATTTTTCTTGGTAATGTTTTGTATTTTTTAATTAAAATATAATTACATCACTTTCCCCTTCCCTTTTCTCCCTCTATCTACTACTCCCAAGTTCCCCAAACACTCACACTAATAGCGTCTTCTTGTTCCATTGTTATTGTTACATGTATATATGCACAAATATATAAATACAACCTTTTGAGTCCATTCTATTGTTTGTATATAAATGGTTTCAGAGATACTGTTTGTGTTAGTTAACTAATTATGGAGCTTATTCCTAACGGAAGATGACTCTCCCATTTCTCAGCACTCATCAGTTGACTATGTTCCTTATCCAGGGATGTGGCCCTGTGAGGTTTTTTTCCTCTTTCAAGTCTATTGACATTGCCATTGTTCAGATCTTGTTTATGCAGACACTTCTAGGAGAAACTGTTTCACAGCAGACTTCCTGGTAATTTGGTTCTTACAATCTTCCCATCCCCTGTTGTGGAATGTTTAAAAAACATAGATGCAGGAGCTGTGGTGCAGATGTGTCCTTTGGGGCTGGGCTCCACAGGATTGATTGGTGGCTGCTTTGTGTCCAGTCATGGATTTTTGTGATGGCCTTCATTTGCTGTAAAGAGCTTGTTGATAAAGGGTGATAGTTACACTTATTTATAATATAGTCAGGAACTAATCTAGTCTAACAGCCTTTTCTAAGATCTATGACCTCACTATGCAGGGAAAGTTGGATAGGTTTCTAGTACTGCACATGGTTTTCCTCCCGTTGAATGGGCTTAAGTACAATCAATCTTTGGTTACCACCAACATGTTAGTGCCACTTACCTCACATATTGGTTGACTTTATGGATATCTTGCCATTCTGGTCATTGCCATGGTTGGTAGGTATCACAGCTGGGTAGGACTATTAACTGCTTCCTTCTCTTGGCAGCTTGAATAGCATTTTCTGGTACCCTGGAAGCTAGAGCACGGGAAAGAGGCTTTCAGGTCATATGCAGCTCAAATAATTTGGGTATTGTATCTTAGGTGTCCAGTATATGGGTACAGTAGTAGGGGTTTAACTTCAGTCTCTGGGAGGTAACCAAGGGCAGCAGCAACGGATTATATTGTTTGGGGAGTCTCTTAAATACCCTAGCCAGTCATTCAAGAGGAGATGCCCCATGCCTGTTCCTGGGGGTTCTGTTAATCTGTTTCTTGTGGGGAGCATTGTCAGCCCCAATGATGTAACTTCCTTTAAGGTATATATTACATACACATCCACGCACGCACATGTCTTATATGATTTTAGGTAAATGAAAATAAGATCCTTGTAGCTTTATCAAACATCCTTGGTGCTATTTCTCCCTTCTCCTCCTTTATTGACCTTTCCTTGTATTTGTCTTTTGGGGTCTAGGTTACCTCACTCGTTATAATCTTTTCTGCATCCATCTAATTACCCAGGAAAGGCAGCTCATTAACTCACTGAATTACATATTTTTAAAGAAACTCAGCTCAGCAACTCATACAGCAATTTTTTAAATCAAATCATCTAAAACAATGCAATACAAATATACACTAATTTGATCTTGAGAACTGAGGAATTAGACATATCTATGCACACGCACGCACACACACACACACACACACACACAGAGAGAGAGAGAGACAGAGAGAGAATTAAAATACTGTAGAAAAGCAAAAAATTTTGTATAGACACTACGAACACTACAATTTATAATATACACTAGTCTCAAATCTGAGCCATGTATTTCAAACAGCATTCATAGGCTTAGCGTAGCATGACAGTAAGCAATGGGGCAAAATGTGTCTGTACTCTCAGACCGAAGGCTGCAGTGAAGTCCCGTGATGCAACACAGGTGGGCACTGCCAAAAACACCTTCGAATCACTACACATAAAACTTGGAATTTGCTTTTGTTTGTTGCATATTCAGAAACATTTCGCTGAGGCTAGATAGATGACTCGGCAGTTAAAGGCTAGTCTCACAACTAAAGATCCAAGAAACGGTTCACTGTTGCCAGCTGTTGTGAACCCCCCCCCACACACATAATAAGTTGTAGAATTTCACATGGGGTCATGACTCCTAGGATAAGAAACTGTGTCTCAGTCATCTAATCCAGTGACTCTGAAACAGTGAGATCATTCTTCGTTTATCAGATTCCTGTAAAACCAAATGGAAACCACAAAAGTTGAACCACTAGTGCTGAGTTTTTCAGGAGGAATCCAGATGCCAAACAGTATAGGCTAAACTCCAGATTGCCAGGATCCCCTGGTCTAGTAATGCTTCATTGACAAAGAAGCCTGGATTTCGGAAGGAATATGTCCTCACACTGGAGTACCCAGCGCACCCAGCCAACCATCAAGGCCATGGAGACAGAAGGACAGGTGATGATGGGTTGTGGAAGAATGCTTAACACTAACTACCAGTCAGCACACAGTAGTTTTTAACATCTACTTGTTTCTGTTAAAGAAACAACAGCCTTTCATTCAAAGACTTTTGAAATTTCATAAGACCAGAAAAGAAAAACATATAATCCCACCAGTTATGTACACATCTATTAGCATGTGAATGTTTTCTGTCTTTTAATGAATAGATTGTTGGGTTTTGCTGAACTGTGATCATTCTGTGTTCAATTTTGCATCCTGCTTTTTTCACATTATTACAGCATAAGCACTTTCCATTTGTAAACAACATTTCTTTCACAGCTTCACAATATGCTTTCATGTGGTTATACTGCATGGAATATTTTTTTCTAGTTTTTCACCACTTTGAATAATGTTTGAATGGGCATGTATATACATGGAACTATCTTTTTAATGATGTACTGAGGAGAAAATATGAAGTCAATGAATTCTAATCATTGTCAAATCACATTCATACTTCATTTATATGAAATTACATAAATGCTTTAAATTCTAAAAATAGACATACAAGTATTCACTATTATTTCCCTTGGATCTGGAAGTTGACAACTAGTAAGTGGTCTGTTACATTCTTTCACCATATTTGCAAACACATACATTATATAACTCACTTACATATAACTACTAAATTAAGACCATTGTATATAAGTCTAAAACAGTTTAGTTCTTAATGTAATTGCTTGTGAACATAGTCTTATGTCAGAAGTAATACTTCAGGGGCTGGGAAGATGTCTCAGTGAGTAAAGTGATCTTCACACAAGCATGAAGATCAGAGTTCAGATCCCCAGGGCCCACCCAGAATGGTGGCTGGTGCCTGTAACCCCAGTAGTATCTAGAGTAACAGAAACTGGGGAGACCCCAGGGGCTCACTAGCCAGCCAGAAACAGTAAACCAGATATTTTTATATTTACTGTGAAAGGCATCTGTTTTTGAACAACTAGAAGGCCAGGAAATGCCCAACACTTCTCTCCTTGACCTGTCTATCTTCCCCTGCCACGGTGGCTTGTAAGAGGTGATCCTTCTGAACTCACTGGGTTGAATATGTTAAGAGTAGAGAAGGAGACCTGCTCCTGACCCGTTGGGAAGTGAACCCAGTGGGATCCTCTGTTTCAGGAGTGAGTGAGCCAGAAGACATCTCCAGTTCTGGGAGGTCCTGTGGCAGAAACATCCAGACACTCCCCCAGATGACAGCTCCCTCCTAGCCTCTGGCTCCTGCTTCATCCTTTGCTTGTTGTCTAGCAGAGGCTTTCTCTTTTATAGCCTAGAAACACGCCGTCAATAAATACAATAAATATAATATCCTGGCCCCTTTTAGAACAGCTCTGTAAGTGCCTCCCATCTTCCAGGTTCTCTGAAGGATTTGCTGGGTCTTCACTATGACCAAGTGGCTTCTAATCACAGCTTGTCCAACCCCTCCCCTTCCTTCACCTCTCTGCAGATGTTGACGCTAACAGCTGCCTCAATAAACTTACATAGGTGTTTCCAAAGTCTTGTTCTCTCTGTTTCCTTCCTGGGATGGAGCTCCATCTCTGCCATTAACTTGGTCCATGACTGTAAGCAGTCCTCATTTCTGGGCCTCATTTTCCTAGTGTGCAAAGTAACAGGCTTTGCCTTAATTTTCCACACCTACTTACTTTACTTAATGGATTTTATGTGATCTCTGATTTCAACAACAAAAGTTGTTTTTTATAAAAATCATTGACCAGGAACCAAAGCATTTGTCAGGGTGCTAGTTATTAATGAACGCATATGACTCAACAGGCCTTGTTCTGTGGCATAGCCCAGAGCCTGCCCCTGTGAAGAGCCTCTAGGCTAGAGTGCAAGCACAAACAACCTCCCCTTCCCAGAGGAGCAAAGTTCAACTGAAAGATACTGTCTACTGTGTTCCTGGGGAGGTACCTGAATAGAAGCCACAGGACCATCCACACCAAAAGAAATCAACCTCTCATTCACAAAAAAGATACATAGGTGCTCTAGGACTCCAAAAACAAATAAAAGAAACAAACCAACCAGGCTTAATCCCTAACAAATGTACACCCAGTATTCTTCTTTTACATAGGTAATAGTTCATTTAATCCCCACAACCCTCCCTGCAAATTGCCCAACACCATTCCCATTTTATAAATGAAGCCACAGAGGACATGTAACAGCACAAACTCACATGTCATGTACTTACAAGAGCCAAGGCTACTTTCCCTGGTTTTACTGAACTACAAAGTACATGCCTACTCCTGTGCCTGCTACCTCAGTGAGAGCTAGCAAGCAACTGGAGGGCAAGCCACGCAGCTTTCCCCTTGGAATCCTGAGCACCTGGCATGGTGTCAATCACCTGTTACTAAATACTGATTAATGACATTAATTACTTAAGATTTCAAATTCTCAGAGTGGCATTTCCATCACATTATCATACAATCAGCCTTCTTACATCCATCCCCTCAAAATGCTCAGCCTTCGAAGGAGACCAATAGGAGAAAAACAGCTCATCTCTCCTTCACAGTGTGTTCCGTCCTGTGCTGTTTGCAAGAGTACCCCACCTGTCCTGATAAGTTAGGGTCCCACTGATTACCCCTAAACCCAGTATGCTTGAAAAGATGGATTCACATATATCTTCACATATCCATAAAAACCATCCTAAAGATATTGGGTATGAAATTCAATGAGACTTGTGTATGTATGTACTGCTGCCTCTGAGGTTATCATTGCTTTAATGAAAAAAGCTTTAAAAACCTCATGAAGGCTGTAATTAAATTTATAAGCAGCCTTTCTCACAACTTTAACAAAAGATGTCTAACTGGTGGTGTGTGTGCGTGTATGTTTTGTGAGTGTATGTGTGTGTGTTAAAATCCTCCTCCATAAGGATTATGGCTCCCCCGCTGTTTGGAAAAGATCATCTCACTTGTAACACTAATAACTTGAGCAGGGGAGAAGCTGGCCTGGTGAATGGAATGCACTTCACTGCACATCTTGGCTCAGCTAGAAATCGGAAACAGATGGTCCTTGCGGCTGCTTTCCCACTCCAGCCCGCTCACTGCCAGCCTGTGGTCTTCAGTGGGCTGCTGCTGGCAGTCTGTGACTTGAACATAGTAGGACGTGGCAAAAGAAATCAAATCTTTTCCAATGAGCAGCAAGTTATAATGAAATTTGACAGATCTGACATTCTATACCTAACATCTAGTTGGAATATATTAACCTTTTAGTTTTCTTAAGCATCTTGTATAGAAGTTGTGAATGTACTTATTAGAAGCTGTGTTGCATGCCTTCTCTCTTTCTTTTTTCTTTCTTCTTTTTTCCTTTTTAACAAGGGGCAGAGGGTTTAGCCCAGTCTTGGGTGGCAGCTGGCTAGCAGAGAAAGCAGAGCGAGATTAAAAGTCAAGGAACTTCTAAATAGAAACGAGGAGCAAGAGCTGCCACTAAGGGGGAAATTAATTCTTTGTGCGACATGGTGGGTGAGTTCCTGCTGGAAAAAGCATCCGTGTTTCTCTGAAGGACAAAATCTACATGTCTGCATGCACACACACAGGCAAAAGTATGACCAGTCCCACAGCATATCATTCAAATGGAATGGGCCTGTCTGGACCCCCTGTATCTTCAACAATACCTTTTTTTGGCTTATGAATTTGCTTCTACCATGCTGCAAGGTGGCTTGGGACACCAGTGTATTTATACTTAGAAATGATGTGTATCTGTGCTGAGAACTTTGCCACTTTTATTGAAAAAAAAGAAAAGAAAGAAAGAAACTCCCTCCAAAAAGGGTGGTGAGCATTTTCTGGCCGTGGAAGAACTGAACTCGCTACCTTTCAACATTGGTTCTTCCACGTGCGTAAAAGTTGATGATGAGTGAACGCATTCACTTAAAAACTGCACCACAGTGTACTGAGTTGCATTTAGGAATTTTTTCCACCTGACTACAGTTAGAGGAAAGACCTAGGTATTAATAGTAGATAATCTCTTTTCAGGACAGGTTTCTCTTTTCTTTTCATTTTTAATCTTACATGCCCGTTTGCCCTAACCTGGGCTCTGAAGCCTCAGCAATAGGGTACCTTTCTAATTTCAGGGGTTCAGAGACAGTGATGATTCAAGACAGCAGTTGTGAAGCCCAACACCTAATTCTACAAAAGAAATACAATGTATTACTGTCTTAGAATAGGAAAAGCGTGGGGAGGGATATATTTTAGCCAAGCAGATGGAGGCGGAATCGTTCCCTTTTTTAAAACCAAATCTTGTTTGTAGTTCAGATTGGCCCTTCATCTGCAGTTCTCTTGTCTATACCTCCTAGGATCACAGGTGTACATTAACACACCAGGATGGTCTTTGATCTTCCTGAACTTTGAATCTCTTACCTGTTGGACTCACACCTGAAAATTGCAAATAACAACAACCTCCTAGGGTTGTAATGCATGTTTCACGTGCATCACCTAAAAGCATCTTAAGAGATGCCTGGCATACAGCAGGTGCTAAATCCTATCAGTGACTTCAGAGGTAATACCACGGATGAAAGGGCTAGACTCAACTCCTGGGCTTCGCCCTCATTCTATTTCTAACTTAGGATCCCTAAATAGGACACTTTGCCTCCCAGCGTCTGTTTCTGTTTGTAAAATATGGTTAATAATAAGTCTACCTCATAGGAACCTACCTGGAAAAAATACTTAAGGCTCTTGGAACATCGCCTGGCTGAGAGGAAATGCTGGATAAACGTTAGCTGTTATTACATGCTGTGTTCAAATCACGTGTTCTTGTAGAGTTTCACATTTCCAAGGGTTCTGGAAACAAAGCTTAAAAGGAGAGGGAAATGCATTTAATTGCTGGCACTGCAGAGATGCTATTTAATGGATGGATGAATGGATAAAAGACATATGTTCATCAAAGACAGGTAGTAATACAGCCAGTCTATCTGAAGTCGACACAGAAGGGTGACATAGATAAGGAAGGCAAGAAGGAGTCAGAGAGCTGCAGATCGCTGTGGAGCAGAGCTCTGACCCAGACAATGTGCTAAACAAGAAACAGCATGAGCAGCAAGGAAAAAGGAGTCTGTGGGGCTGTGAGGCTGCAACTGGCTCTCTAGGTGGGCAGACTTCTGTGTCTTCTGCTCTTCTTGACCTAACCACTGGGGAACCTCCAGCCATTCTCCCAGCCACTGGAACAAAGGAAGACACAGCCCTGCCTCAGGAATCTCAGGTGTAGGTGGGAAGGGGGGGGGGCTGGAAGACATGGTTTTGGGAGTGGATACTAGTATCAGAGCTGTGCTGGGACAAGGCACAGATTATTAGGAGAGAACAGAAGAGAGACAACCTAGCCTCACAGCCCAAGACCAGAAGATAGAAAAACAAGGCACAACTCAAGAGAGGAACAGAATATACAAAATAGTGGTAACAGCACGGTGCTTTTTACATATTAGTAAATATGCACTTGACGCATATTTCTGCTTATAAATTCACATACATACATACTCCTACAAAATAAATGTCATTTTCTTTGAATACTTGATTAGTATAGGACACAGAAAATCAGAGAAGTTAATTAAGACGGGAGAGGTCACACAGTCAGTAACCCCCAAAGCAGGGTATGAGACTTCAGAAACAGTACTCTCAATCACTCTGCTACCCAAGCCTCTGAAAAACATTACTATTCCATTACACACTGCCCTTTGGCAGCACAGAACCAGAATCGGAGCCGTTCATCGGCATTGTACATTGTACACCTGTTGACAGCAATCTTGGAGGCCGTACCCACGGCACTGGAGGACAGACCCTGCCGCAAATCTTGTGCTCTGGCATCAATGAATATATATATATATGTATATATATATATGATGTTTCAGTTTGGGAACTTTGTCTGTGATGACCAGAGCAAGGTTAGAAAGTCATTGGCGCTTGGTCTCAGCCTTCTTGTGATGGTCCATTTCATTCCTGGGGCTTCTCTTTATCCCCTTATCACCTGGACCTCATTCGGTCTCCTGATTGTACAGTTAGGGGATCCCGCGTCTTATAATACATACTCAAGGAAAGTTTAAAAAGAAAAAGAAGCCCAGACTCTATGGGCTTCTTTCCCCCATGGGAATGCTGCCTTTGCCTTAGATCCACTTACGTGCACGGAGAAGTGTTCAAATGACAAGAGTTAAATTCAAACCATGTAGCCGCTTTCTGCTACATTTTTTTTCCTGACTGAAGGCAAACCATTTAGATGTTTGTTTCAAAAAAGGCATCTGTCAGCAATCAAAGAGGGGAAAATGCATAAAGCAATGCAATTGTTTGGAGTAGCATTTCCTGGATCATGTTAAATGCTTGAATTGTTCCCCATTATGCTCACCAAATAATTTTATTTCCCACAATAATTGCAATATTTAACATGTTTTATTTAATCTTGTTTTAAGGCTATTAACAATGGGCCACACTGTGGAAAGACTGCTATATGAGGAAGGGCTGCTTCCATCAGGCTTTTAGTTGACAATGATCAAGTTAAATGCATCTAATTGTTGTGGATTTAAAGCTATCATCCAAAAACTATCTAACAATCCTTTGTTCAAAACTACTGTGTTATCTGCCGCAAAGTCCCCTCAGGTATTCCATCACTCACAAAACGAAAACTGGATGCCAGTTTAGGCAGTACCCCATTCATTCATAAATAATGGACAAGCATACGATGTTTTGAATCCTAGAAATGCTGTGCCTCAGAGGACAAACACCTCCAACGCCAGAGGTTTCTGACTTAGACATGGAAAGGCTACAGCCTCACAGGTACACATGTCCGTGAACCTTTATGCAGGAGAGGAAGCTGGAGGAGACAGAGTGGGAAAGAGAGCCCAAGGGAAGTGATGGGTGGGACAGGAGCTGCTGAATGCTGCTTCCTTGTCCTGGTCCTTCAGAGGGGTCAAGTTACTATTTTACGTTTTACATAGAATTTACAAACTCTTTCCTTCTCTTTCTCCAGATGGTGATTGCACAAGGCTGTGGGGGTTCTGGTATGAAATGTTGGGGTGCATTTCTGGAAGGAGCATGTGCCCCTCATCAGACTCCGGCGCCCATCTGACATTTGCTATGCTCTCACAGAGTCTACAAAGAGATCTGAGCCAAGGACATGCAAACTCAGAGAACCTTCCTAAGAGTGAGAATAATTCTCCTAGCCCCGTGTTACTAGAGGATTACAATGGGGGACGAGAGAGAAGGAACAAATGGCTGATTTATTTTATGTACTGTACTTCCCTAAGAGCAGCCTGTACGCCACGACTAAAAGGAGAAAACACCTCTGACTCTAAAGATTAAAAATTACTTTACTGAAATTATTTTGGTCAAAAATAGCTATCTTCTATACTACCATAAGGATAAAAAGATAATAATAATAATAATAATAATAATTAATAGTAACCCCTACTACTACTATTAAAGAATAGGCCATACAGAAAAAAGTGATCAAATTTAACCTCTTTGAAACTTAAAGACCTGTACAAAAGCTACCAAAGAATAATTAGATTGAAAATATGACTAGGAAAAGCCCATTAGATAGTTGAACTGTAAAAACACTACTCTTCAATGATCACAGTTGGGTCATTTCGAGAAATAGTGAACAATTCTCCTGGGCCCCGAGGTGCCCACAAGGAAGGCTTCTGGGCACAGAACTGTAGACCATTATTGGTGGGAACTTGGGGGCCCTAGGGTTGCTCATCTTCAAAAGACAGCTGAGGGTGAGTGTTGCTGTTGCACAGGTGTTATCTGTAGCCCAGCCCAGCTCAGCTCACAGGAATGACAGCTCCCAAATGCAAGTGACCACATACAAGAGATTCTGGACATTTACTTTCCCCCAGTAGTTCAAATAAGTGGCTTGAATCCAGCAGCTGTCTCGAGTTTTTCCCACTTAACACAATTCATTTCTTAGTACTTCTTATTTCGAGGTCCATGTTCTTGCATTTCTCATGCAACAACAACAACAAAAGCTTAACTTGAAATCTCCACAAAACAATAAAGATGGCTAGGTCATACTAAGGAAATCAGAGTTAATTTTTCCTGGTTAGTGAGACTCTCCTATCAAATTTAGGGAGAACTGTGTAAAGATGAATTGATAATGACTGCTTGCTTTATTTTTAAAGAATGAAGACCCCCAGAATTCATCTTAGCAACATCAAAAATATAGATATATATAGCCTAGTGTTAGCCAGAGTGAGTACCACATCAGGAATGTAGTAATTTACTCACATGAAAACACAACTAAACACCATGTCAACTGAACCAGAAAGCAAGGGACTCCGATGCTGGCATCTTGTATTTAGGTTCTTTCATAACCAAATTAACTAACGAATTAATTAAACTTAAGAAAAACCAAGCAAGGTGTAGAAGGAGAAGTATTCTTCCCTGGAACACTTTTCTCCTTAGAAAATCTATTCAGTTATTCCCAAATTTAGTTTCAGACTCTTTGCTTTGCTTCCAATGGAGACGCGCAGCACAGCAGAAGCGAAGCGAACACTTTCTGAAATGCACAGCTCACGTTCTTGAAGAGAGTGGCTGTGAAAAACAGATACTGAATCAGACTTAAAGTCTGAGTTGGGGGGGGAGGGAAAAAAACGCCCCAAACATTGCATGATAGTCTCTAAGCAGTTCCATCTGTCAGGCAGAAATTTTAGGCTAATAGCCTGTGGCGATCTCCCTCCGCAGTCCACTACCTGCCTTTGTCCTATTAAATCTCTTTATTCTCCTAAAAAAAAAAAAAAAAAAAAAAAAGAGGGGGGGTTGGTTGTTGGAAGGAAAGGAAAAACCTTGCAGACCAAAATCATCTGAGTGATGAAGCCCTAATTTTAACCACCTCCCTTTGATGTGTAGCAGTGGGCTCTTGTTTTAAAGAGGGAGAGGGGAAGACACTGCAGCAGCAGACTCCTCATCTCCACTTCACCTTGCCACTGGGTCTGGGAGAGATTGGTTCATTGTCAAGGAGATTTTTTTTTTTACCCATGATTCCATATGGTATGGACCGGACTACATGTTGCCCCACATGCCACTGCAAATGTTTTCTCAATTAGGTGTCTTATCTCCCGTGAGTTAGCATCAGATGAAGCTTGCTGACAGCGTAATGGCAGGGAAAGCTTCCGACGGCTCCATCAAATGGCAGCTTTGCTACGACATCTCGGCCAGAACTTGGTGGATGGTGAGTTGGCAGCCGGGACTGCCTCTTTTTTTTCCTTTTCCCCCCCTTTTCTACTTTCCCTCCCTCTTTGACAAAATGTCCCAGACCTCACATTCATCAAACTCACATTTGATTTTTTTCACACTCTTCAGTGGGGCTGCCTCACACTGCTCCCTCTTGCCACCCTCCCTCTCCCTGCCACTCTGCAACTTGAGTTCCCAGCAATGTTTGCCCTTGTTCTCTATGGGACAGTATTTGGTGCTTTGGGGTTTTATTATTATTATTATTAAGAATATTTTTAAAGTATCAAAAGTTTTCAGGCAGAATTCAGCATTTCAGCCAGAGCCATCTGCAGATAGAAAAGACGCCGTTTGTCCTGTCCCTTGGTTTTTGTGTCCTCTCTCTAGCTTCTCACCCTATTCACTTGTTTTTGAGAACTATAGGGTGCATGATTCCTTGGCTGTGAAATTTTCCAGGGGTGCATATTGAGTATTGGAGGAAAGCAAGCCCCGTGTGAATCCTTTCATGCCCCAGTAATTGGAATGCTTCAAGTCACCTGTGAAAGTCCTCCATTCCTCATCTCCCATTAGGGGACCACAGCTCTCACATCTAACTTTTCCATGTTTGTTTATGTTGGAGGAGCAGATCTTCTGCCTCTTAGAACCGCCAGTTCTGAGTGGAACAGAGCTGCACACCCTTTCATTCAGTTACTCTGGGCAAAAGAAAGTTTAAGGAACTTCCAACTTGTAGCTGCAGAATGAGTTAACTCACATGTCATGGTCAACCAGGCCAGACAACCTTTGACTTCTGGGATCTACGAGCTAGAGGGAAGTGGGAGGATGTACAATAGCTCATTGTCACAGGAGACGCCCGTCCTGTGAGGAAGAGAGTCCCAGAATCATTGCTGTCCTCGTTAGAGTGGTGTCCGTTAAGGATTAATTCGTTAGCACCGCATTCCTAGTTTTCCGTAATTATTATTCTTGCAGCAAGCGTGAATTCTTCCAGGGAGTGAAAAAAAAGTTTGCTCCCAGGACAATGAATGTATTATCCGTTCCTAACTGGACCGTGAACTTCAGCTCATTTCACATAGATATCAGTTTAAGAAAAGGAGAGTGTGTGTGATGTGGAAGGGGGAGCCTGGCGAATGGAATTACAAAACAGGGCATGGTTCACTGTACGATCTACAGAAAAAGTACTCTCCCTTCCTGGACAAATGGTGCTATCATTTTGGCAAGATGTAGGAATTCGGAAGACTGAGAGTATTAAAAGTGAACTACTGCGGGATTCTATTCGGCTGCTGCCTGGGATTCAGTATGTCCATTCCAAGGACTTGAGTAAAAGTAGTTGTGGGTATGTGTGTACATGTATATTTTCTCTTGTAATTTCTTAAGTAGACATCGGAAACTTTACCAGTGAGTGATTGCAGGACAATATTACAGACGGCTTTGGGCTAATGAGACTTGCAATCGTCTATCTATTACGACCCTGAACTTTTATTCAAGGCATTTATTTTCCCATTAGACTTTCTGCCAGCAAGAGCAAGGTTTGCTTGTATGAGACAGTGATATTGCTTCAATGCACACAGCTTGTTAAGCACTACAAATGAATTTACTGATTAGTTTGGCAATTATTTTCTAGGCTAAATTGTAAGCTTGGGGGGGAAAAAAGCTGTGCTGATGCCATGTTCTGGGTAAAATACCCTGTTTCCTTACTGTATTTCAAGAGGTACTAGATTTTATAGACTGTTACTTTTATGACAAATTGTGTCATTATTATTATTATTATTATTATTATTATTATTTCTTGCAAAGATCACCAAATACTTCTTTCTTTCTGTCTAATTTGGAAAACTGTAATTTGTTTTCTGTAAAGTTTACTTGGAAGTTGCTTTTCACTTAAAATTATTTTACAGATGTTTTAGCACGGGGAATATAATGTATAGAAGTGGTAGGAGCATTTAGCCATGCGTTTGACTAACGATAAACAATGCTGAAAGATTGCATGCTGCTGTTTAGGCTGCATACTGCAAAGAAGTTTTTCCAGTGCTTCTTGGTTTTTGCTTTAAATAAGGGGTGATAAGTCTACAGGGTCTTTGGCGAAGTTGTAGAAATTACCAAGGGAAGAAATCAAAATTGTAGTTCCCCTTAGGGCTACTGTACATAATAGCATTTTAGATCTACATACCAGTTATACATGATTCTGATATAAATTTTCATTACTGTTAGTAAACTAAGGAAAGGCTTTGATGGAAGGAAAAACAACTAATTACAGGAATACAAATTTCACATTTTCTTTAGATCTTCTTCCCTGAATAGCCCTCACGCCTTTTACCTCAATGTCACCACCTTACTAACCCAAACAATTTTTCCAAGCTGAAAAAAATAAATAAATTTCTCCTGGTTTACATGACTCTTCAAGCAAAGGACAGTTCAAGATCTGAATTTCACATTAAAGGCAAATAAAACTTTAAAATTACCTCCTGTGTCATCTGGCTGCTCAGACTCCGGGCTCATAGTGGGAACCTCCGGCTTGGTCCTCCCAGCATACAAAGGCAACTCAGTGAATGCCCCCTCCGCCCGTGGAGACTCGGCCTCAGCTGCCAGCACCGGGATATGCAATTTTGCTTTTTAATGAATCGTAAACAATTTGTATGGCAAATGAGTTTGTTTGTTTTAGTTTGGGGGCATGTGCTGGGCCAGCTTGTGGAGGATCATCACCTATTCCAGGATTTAGGTGCAAATGGGTGGAGCTCTGGATCATTTTTTAGGTTTTTTTCCCCTAAATAATAAAGACACACTAGGATGAAAGAAGCCAGTCAATAAAAGATTAAGAAGAATGCCCCTCTCCCCTCTCTTTTCGTCCCTGCCCCCCATAACTGCTCTGGTTTACAGCGGAGTTTAGTGCTCTTTCTCATAACTAACTGGAAATCTGTTGGATGAAGTAGTCACCATTGATTTTGAATGTAAGTTTTAGCTTTGTCTTTAGAAGACTGCTTCCACTTAAGAAACAGTTGTTTTACGGTGTAAATTGCTGAGAAGGGACATCACTGGCTGTTACTTCTTTAGGTTAAAAGTAAACACTTTCTTGAGGGCACGCTGCATATAAGAAATTAAAAACCTGTCTGTATGTCAAAAGGGAGCAAGAAAGTATGTGGGGTACTCGAAAGTCTAATGAAAACTTTTAGTCAAAGCCACCAAGTTGTGAACAACTGGAAGGTTGACAGGCAACCGGGTTCCAGCGTGCACATTTTAACAGTAATTACCTTTGGCACTGCCACTTATGAAGAATCTTTTGATATCTGAGCCACGTCTCTAATGCTTTAATCATGTAAATCAAGAAATAGATATTGCGTATCAACTTCATCTCACCGTGTTGTGACATCTCTAGTTGAAACTTTCCGACAGAAAACTAAAGAAAGTGCTCACAAAAATTTCCCCAGCTCTAAACAAATTGGAAATGCCCTGAATACACATACATGCTCTGAGAGATACTTTCCCCCACCAGAATACCTCCATTCTGCCCAAACAGCCCTAAAATGGGCAGAATAACCCTTCTTCTGGCCAAACATAACTTAGTGATAAAGGTTTGTTATGGGAAATTTTATCTGAGGATTCCAAAACACTTGTCTTTCTTCTACCATCCAAATTTAAAGTTTGTAATGACTACAGCAAAAACTACGGGGTGGTTCTGCAACCAGCTGTTGTTACCCAGGCCGAATTCCTAGCCAATTACGTTTGACAATATCTTTAGAAATTGACAAATGGATTTTAATCAATAATTGTTGTTTAGTCCAATTGTTTACAGTGCAAACTTGTTATACCAAAAACATGCTTGGGCAAGAAGGATCTGGGTATGGCTTTTGGTATAAACACCTGTTTTTTGAAATATGCAAGAATAAAGCATATGTCTGTGAATTTACCAATGAAAAGTCCTCACCTGCAGTCTCCTGCCACAATGACTGGCAGCTCATGGAAACCTCTTGCTGCTGTTTGCTTGAATCTGCATGGTGAGCCACCCTGCCCATTTCAGTTTTTAAACGTTAACTGTCAACTGAACAACTTTTCTTGATGGCCATTTTCTGCGGGCCTTTGAAGATAATGCCTAATGAAGACTTTCTTAGGAATTGGAACTAGTCCTTTCAAGATAATGACTGAAATAACTTGGAAACTGCTAAAATGGTAATAAATGAGATGAATGAAAAAGAGGAGACCCAGGAAGAGTCCATGGTTAACATATTTATATACATGGAATTTAGTACATTTGTGTGCTTTTTAAAAAATATTTTATGCAGTGATTGGCTTGATCTGAAATAATTATTAAATAAACAACTTTAAATAGAAGCCACCATTGTAAGTAAGTGCAACCGTATTATGCCTGAGACTATCTGCCAACCTCAGATTTTTCTATGCCTTCAAAACATTCATTTTCTCTTAGCACTGGAAGTAATAGGTTCTAAGAAAACTCTGAATGAGGTAGGGTTGACTTTCTTCTTCCACATACATTAAGAATTTATCCTTATCGTTTTCTTTGAGGTCAGTGCTCTACACCCACTTTTCAAATAAAATTCACTATTCTTAGAGAGAAGCAAATACACTAGACTACTTCTTTTTTTTTCTCCTTAAATCTAATTATGGTCCAAATCTGCTTCATTCGGAAATGTGATTGGCTGCTTAAGATAGCCTGTGCTCTTCTACTATCTTCCTTAAAAATCTTGATTTCCTGTTGTTACGGTCATATTTCTCCTGTGAACTTTAGACAGTGAAATAAACGCTTTGTCCTTCCTTATTTTCTACTTGATTTTCCTTCACCTGTCCTGAATATTGTCAGGAGTGTTTCTAATTTAAAACCAAGAGAATCAGGGGCTGATTAGAAGACAGGAAATTGGAGGATTAAGCTGTCTGGTTGCACTTCCTTTACTTATCAGCACTCAGTAACTCACTCTAGATTGCAAACTCAACAGGACAGTTTTGACAATGCATTGTTCTTTCTGGATGCTTGCATGTACCTGTAAGTGTTCCTGTGTGTCCTTGTGAGTATGAGGAGCAAACAATCTGCAGCTGGAACTTATAAGTAGCTTTTTTAAAGTGGGATAGTCCTGAACCAAATGGAGACTTATAATGTAGGCAGGAAAGTTCATCTAAAGACTACCATTCCAGGTTAGTTCTGTGAAATCGTGTAACTAATGGAATGATGCAGGAGGAGAAGCAAGATGCTGGCAGCCCTTATGCAGTCCTTGTCCTCTTGGAGTTTAACTAAGAAGTGTAAGCACTCACATCGAATAGAGAGGTAACTCAAAACATGGGAATGAATTAATCTAACAGGATTCCCAAGACCACTTTGGGATCCCCTTTCCTGCAGACAAGAATGGATTCTTTCTTCTTGTGACAGTTGAGTCGTAGTGCTCCAGATGAGCTTATATTATAAAATGAACTCAAGGCAGAAAGCAAAACAGATCAAGACAAGAACAAAGATTTTTCTTATGTTGTCTCATTACCCAAAAGTAATAACATAACACGAGTACATTGACCTTATAAATTTTCACTTCATTGTGCATATTTGCAGGGCTGCATTCTAGAAGCCAGGCTGGAAAATCCCTCTTTTGACCTCACTCTGCCCACTCACTCACTGTCTTACCCTCCATAAGAATTTGCTCATTTGATTCAAGAGCATTCTTGGTGGATATGTAAGGTTTCCCTACCTTGTACTACAGAACAATAGAGAATGAAGGGAGTAGGATGGTACGATGTGACGAAACGGGTTGATTGGTTAAGGTGGTAAAGAGGGAATTAACATTTAAGCGTTTGTTCGGACACTCCTTCATACTCCATTTGTGCACCACTGACAAGGCCCAGACATCGGCTGCTGCTTCAGCTCACAGGAGTCTTTCAGTATCTAGATAAGTATTTCACCCTCACAGGTAACATGCATTGATTCAATCTGGTGCATATATGCTAGATACTCTGGGTACTGTTCGTCTTATCACAAACCTACTTTATATCTAAAAGCAGCAAGACTGAAAACAAGCTGCTTAGGATGTAGAGTTCACTTGTTTAATTTAGACCCACTTGTCTCAGGTGAATTAATAATTAGAATGTAATATTAGAGCATTAGATGATTGGGACTACCCACTTGTATGCTATGTTGATACAAAGTTTATAATGAGTGAGTCAGAAGGAAGAACGGGACACCAGTCTTGTAACATTGACTTCTGATCTAAAAGAGTGATCCATCTTCCCGTTATGCAACAGGAAGGTTCAGTGCTGTTAAATGAGCTAAAGAAATTGTGAGACCTGCCAGTCCTAATGTATAAATCTAGTCCTTTAAAAAATGCACATTTCACCAAATATGGATGTTTAGAGGAAGTAAAACACTTCATGTTTAAGTTCTTAAAGAATGGTAGGAATATTTTTCTGTTATTTAATATCTATTTAGAGGATATGTCACTTACAGTTTTAAAAGGGCAATGTCATTTTCAAAAGGTCATTTTTCCACAGAAAAGCATCTATTGTCTCCTCTCTTTCTTCTCTTCGTCCCCCTGCCTTTCCTCATAAGCACAATGATAACCTGGTGCTGAAGACTAGTGTTGGACAGTTTTTATTGCCACAAGATTTTCTAATTAAAGGCTTGCCCCAATACAGAGCTTTCAATAAGAGAAGACACAATGCAGGCTATATATGTCTAATGTCAATGATCTTAATATACTCACTACAAATAAACACCTATTCTCCAGGCAACTGCTGACTGTAAACAATACGGCTCAGCCAAAGCTCTGTTTTGGTGCCATGTGTTGGACAGAGTATTTTACTCCTGGTGATCCAAGATTTTTTGTGATCCATGTGATCCTTGATGTGCACATGCTGTTGCCCAGCTGACTGTTTTAAGGGGATAATAAGGACCAGGTCAAAGGTGGAGATGAGTGATCCCAGGCAGAGCAACCTGGTGAGAGCCATTATGCATGGGGAAAGCTGGGACACATAAGCAAACTGGGCATTTGATACAAGTAGCTGACCCACATTAGACCACATATCCCTACAAGACCAGTTCATAGACAAACATACACTATCTATCGGACACTTCCCAGGACAGTCCCGTCTGCTGTTCACCCCCAATTTTCCTCAAGCACCTTCTCCACAGATGTGAGGAACCTTTTACTCCGGCTAATGAAATGGCTTAGCAGCTGGATTTAATAAACCCCCTTCAGATGCTGAAAAGATAAACATTGTCAACTAAATAATTGATTCCATCCATTTATTTAAGAAGCAATTAAAATCAGCATACATTGTTCTGGCTTTCTTATTTTAAGAAAATAGTCATCTCACTTCTCATTTTGTAACCGACTAGGAAAGAACCTGCCAACAGGAGTTATTGCAGTGCCCCATGAACAGTAGGGGATCCCTGAAAGGCACGTTACCCAACACTCAGGTCAAAGCATGCACAGTATTGTTGACAGGGCTCTTGGGGAAGGAAATATTAAAAGAATTGAAATAATTATAGAAGGGACTACTATAACTTCTCAATTAGAAGTCAAGAAATGAAGCAAACCACACAAAGTCACAAATCCAACTATTTTCCAATCGAGCATATCAGCTAATGTTCCAATGAGGAGATTGGGTCTGTGAGAGCTGGAAAGTAGTATCTACTTGCCACAGTGCATATAGTGCATATAGCCCTATAGTAACCACACAGAATATGTCTGCTACCTGGGATTTAGAGCTCTAGGTACACACCATGCATCATTAGACAGAA